AATGAATCAAAATCGATAAATTTGTGAACTTCACGTTTTAATTTTAATTTATGTGATTCGTAAATACTTTTTGCGATACACTCCGTATAAAAAAGCAGTATTCGAAAGAAACGAAGATGTTATTCTGTGATTTTTGAAAATTATTTACCTCTTTATGTACTTATTTTCGCAGCTAAAAAAACAACTCCGATTATAAATCGAAAATTAAACGTTTTCAGCCTATTTATTATTGATATTATAATTGTTCCTATTCCGCACTCGTTTTTTATATTCAAATAATTATTATTTATGTGCTGCTCTTTTCTTGCCCATTATTTTTATTTTTAAAATAATCTTTAATTATTATTAAAATAGTCATCAGTATTCTTTTCGTACTACAAACTGTCATTGAAGTTTTCTAAATGTATACACCTCGGACTCTTATTATATTTATTATTAATAAACTAAAGAAAATTAAAAAAAAGGAAAAGTAAAAGACAGGTTATAAGAAATTAAAAATCGGAAATAAATGATTGTATATATTTGAAATTTCCTGTAAAAATACCGAACGAAAAATGTTCGATACATGTGTAGAAATGTAGTTTTACTACAATATAATCTATATTAGGTATGAAACGGACCCATAGTGATATAAATTCGCTCTTTGTTTATTATATTTTTTTGTGTATGGTTAATTTTCGTGCATGATAAAACTATTTAATAAAAAAATCAATGTCAAAAAATTGTATATTTTACAAAAGCAGTGTTTTCCTTAAACGAAAAATCATAAAGAAATATTTTTCAAAAAAAAAAAACGCCTACACGAATAAATATTAATAAATAATTTAAAATAATTAAAAAGAAAAAATTTTTAATTAACTTATGAATCTCAAATTATTAAATAAGAGAACAAATCATTCTCTTTATGTTTTTGGAAGAAGAAGACGATGAATTAAACGCAATTTATTTATTTATACCTACGTTAAGACGTTCGTTTTCTAGCTTTTATTATTGTATTATTTTTTTTATACGTCGTGTTCCGATTATTTTTTTTTGTTGCCAACTCCCCTCCCTCCCCCGGAAGCTAAAAGAGCCTGGAACAAAAATAAAAAAATACCGCGCTCTATTTTTCCTTTTCGGTAACGTCATCTACGAAATGAAACTCTATATTTTAGTAGATGAAGATACACTGTATATGTATTACAATTGTAAATGCACTCTATATACATACAAACATTATATAAATACATAAATGCCATTTTAGGTTTGTTTTCTTTATTCATAATAACCTGTCCTGTTAATGATTTGTTGTAGATGCGCGTTAATCAAGACTGGATTGATATTTTGTGGTGGTAGAAGTGTTTATTTTATAAATAATTAAATTTACATAGATGCCATTAAATCTATGCGATGTAACAGGAGAGGATGAATTAAGAGATCAAAAGAAGTTGCTGTATTTAGCTTGAAAAAAGACTGAATAACATAAATTTGCTAAAACAAAAATTGAATCAAGTTTGGATTTGAAGATCTATTTGACACGGCCAGCAAAAAGAAGTTGTGAGAATACATGAGAAGGAGGGAGATTAAAAGGCGATAAAGATAGTAAAAGAGATAGAAAGGTATCATTTTATTTCAAACTTTTCACCAACTTGGAGTTTCTTCCTTCTAGCATATCGTACAGTTTCTCCTCTATAGCCTCAAACATGTTTTTAGCTTTAAATAAGTCTAAATAACATAAATGTGCAAAAATAAAGAGTTGAATCTAGGTTGGATTTAAAGATCGCGTTTGACACGATGAGCAGAAGGAAGTTGTGAGAATGAGGGAGATTAAAAGGCGATCGATGAAGATAGTAAAAGAGATGGAAAGGCATCGTTTTATTTCAAGCTTTTTACCAACTTGGATTTTCTTCCTTCTAGCATATCGTACAGTTTCTCTTCTATAGCCTCCAACATGTTTTTAGCTTTAGAAAAGAATAAATAACATACATGTGCTAAAATAAACAGTTGAATCAAGGTTGGATTAAGAACGTCGCGTTATTTGACACGGTGGGCAGAAGGAAGTTGTGAGAAAAGATAACAATGAGGGAGATTAAAAGGCGATCGATAAAGGTAGTAAAAGAGACGGAAAGGCATCGTTTTATTTCAAGCTTTTCACCAACTTCGATTTCCTTCCTTCTAGCATATCGTACAGTTTCTCCTCTATAGCCTCCAACATGTTTTTAGCTTTAGAAAAGACTAAATGACATAAATGTGCTAAAACAAAGAGTTGAATCGAAGTTGGAGTTGAAAATCGCGTTTGACACGGTGAGCAGGAGTAAGTTGTGAGAAGAGATGAGATTGAGGAAGACTAAAAGGTGATCGATAAAGATAGTAAAAGAGATGGAAAGGTATCGTTTTATTTCAAGCTTTTCTAGTCTACTTCTTATCTTTTTCGACGCACATACTCTACATTGCTTTTGAGATGTTTTGCTTTTACCACTTGTCACTATTCTTATAAGTTTATGCTTCTTTATGCATAATAATCTTTCTGGAAGATCTGATCTTGGTGCTCTTCTCGTAGGCTCTGAAGTATTTGATTTGTTAGTTGAGTCTGCTGTGTCGTCACTTTCAGAATCTGTTGATGATAAATCGGATATCCAACTTCTTTCCGTTCAATGTTGTGTACGTTTTAAATGCATTAAAAAGCGCACAATTGATTAAAAACATCACTACTCGTTTGGTCCACTTCTTCGTTTTTCTAAAAATAGAGTAGTAAGACAGATATTGATCTGCGCGATCTACCCCCTTCAGATACTTGTTGTAATCAATTATTGACTCAGGCTTTTGAATTGATATATGTGATCTTCTATTTACACTTCCGGATTCCATTATTCACGCCGAATGTATCGTGGATATCATGTTTATATTTCGTTTACCGTTATTCCATATTTGTAACAGAATATCGTGTTTTCTACGAAATGTAGTTTGACCATTTGACAGGGTTATTTTTTGGAGACATTGAGGAAGACCTCTATTTTTCCGAATAGTTCCACATACCCGTACTTTAATTTGCAAGAGAACTTCAGCCATATGGACACTGTTGTAATAATTGTCCTGATAAATGTGATGCCAAATATTTTTATAAGGATCCATAACTTGTTGAATAGTGTTTTCCAATTTCAGTCCTTGGCAAGCATACACTTCAAAATTACAAACGTATTCCGTGTGAGCTTCACAAACTGCTCTCACAAGTATGCCGTACTTTACAATTTTCGCGGGATTGTAGGTTCTGAATGACAGTCTTCTCCGCCACATTCATCTAAGGATAATTGTTGACAAGGTTTATACACATCAATAAATCTATTCTTTAAATAATTTATAACTGGCTAAACTTTTACAAGTCTGTTTGAATTTGTGGCTATATCTTCATTGTTACAAAAGTGCCAGCTCTGCAGTATCTGCATAAATCTGGTTCTGTTCATTACTTTAGAAAAAAACGGAGTTTCGATGCTTGGGTCAGTTGACCAGTAATCGTGAAGACTGTCTTTTTTTACTTGCCCCATTAGAACAATTAGACCTTAAAATTTTTTCCTTTCTAGCAACGTAATATCCACCCATTTCTTCGTTCTTGAGATATTTTTATATTTATTATTTGATAGTGATATCTATTCGATTCTTTAAGCAAGTATTCTAAAAAGTCATCTCCAATAAATAACTTTACAATGTCCATTACACTTTCTTCGTATTTTGGTAGAATTTTTATACCTGGGCTGCCTTCGAAAGGTTCCAAAATAATTGATTTGTCATTTGTTGACCACGTATCGATGTTTACTTCAGCAGCGTCATCATTATCACTTTCTGAATCGCTAGATTGCAGTGGCAACAGTGTTGTTAAATACCCGGATATTTATTTTCAAGGGAAAATTCCCTGGATATATACCCGGAGGTATTTACCCAAGATGCGTATTTAGAGGTATTTATAAAATTTGATTTAAATTGAGTTGATGGCAGTTTTGCAAGTACTTCAAAAATGCAGAGTCCATTATCGATACACCAAACTTATTTATTACATTTAAAGGATTCCTACAATGACGGTAAAATTGCATGAAAGTACTGACCGAATACTCATTGGGCGTGGGGTAAGACAAGGCAATATTATGTTGAACCCAAATTGTTCATCACAGTCCTGGAGAGTGCATTTAAACAACTGGATTGGACCCAAAAAGGTATAAACATTGATGGCAATACCTAAGTAATTTGCGCTACGCGGACGATATAGTCCTTATTTCGGATAGTCTTGGAGAGATGAAACTGATGCTGAACGTATACAGGAGGCGTGTGCAAGAGTCGGGCTAAATATCAACAAAATTTAGGACAAATCTTGTTCCAAGCTCTAACATCAATATTGGTGATAATGAATACTTCTATCTTGAATACTTTCGATGGTATGTCATTAATCCCTGATGCCTTTCCATGTTTTGACGCAGTGATTGCGTTTTGAACCTCACTAATTGATATAGGTTCCATGACACTATCCTTTCTTTGGCGTGACGGACTGCTGTCTATTTCCAAATCAGTTTCTATGCTTAACAGGTTTTGGAAATAATTTTTCTAAATGTCATTCATTTCACTATCACATATTATTTTTCCTGTTCCATCTCAGCATAGAGCTACGTGCGATTTGTGCCTTTGTCTTAACTGTCTAACAAATTTATACACATTCCTGGTGTTATTAGCTTTAAGTGTACATATATTTCGGAAAAGTTTATATTTTCACTACCGACCATTCTCCTTTACGTAATACTCTTCGAAAATATTTAACGATTTCTTTAATGCTTGAAAAACAACTTTGAATGTCCTAAATTGAGTATCAGTCTAATATTAATGACTAAATTCAGTTTTTGTGCTTCATTAATTCTTGTTGTTTGATTCTTTTCTAGTCATATTGCACTTCCATCAAATCCAAGATTCCAAGATCCATGAGATTGTTGATTTCCAATTGAAAATTAAGTAGTTCGTTTAAGATCTTATTATTCTTCTTCTTTTATTCAGGTTGTAACCTGTTTTTTACGCATCATTCATGGTGTTTCATTAGAGCTGGAAATCCAACTTCCTGGTCTCCCGGAATCTCTTTCTAGCTAATCTTTGGTCTCTTTTGTCTTAATCAGCCAGGTTTCTTCCATTCTTTGGAAGTATTCATAAAATTTTTTTATTTCTCCCCTAGCAAATCTCATGACATATCCGAATCCACAAAATTCTCTTACAATTTTGTTCCTAACTCTATCTTTTCTTGTCTTTTCCACTATTGTTCTTAAAGTACTCATCTCAGTTGGTTCGCATCGCAGCCATATATCTTGGCCATGAGGTTCGTGTATCAAGAGATAATAATCAAAGGCAGCCTACAGGAAACTTAGAGACATTTTCATGGGCGATATTCCTGTATATTTGAAAAGAAAGGCTGTCAATCAATGCGTGGTTCCTCCTTTGGTTATGATATACGGTTCCGAAACTTTAACATTAACGGTGGCCATTACCAGGAGGCTCAACGTAACGCAAAGAAAGATGGAGAGGTCGATACTGGGTGTAACCCTGAGGGACCACATACGAAATGAAGACCTACGAAGAACTGGCGTAAATGATGCGGTCAACATTGTGGCAAAGCTCAAGTGGAACTGGGCGGATCATCGTCGCAAGAATGTAGAATGAGCAGTGGTTACCTGATAATAATACGTCTTCGATCGTTGACAATTCCTCGTCTTCAACGCTCATTTCATCATGTTCCTCTACATTTTTGTCCGAATCTGTTATATTTTTACTTGTATCACTTTTATATGTACTGTTTGGGTATTTACCCTGAGCCGGGGTAAGTACCCAGATAAATACCCATTTTATAAATACCTACCCGCCGGGTATTTACCCAGCGCCCATCACTGAGTGGCAATAATTTGCGCGGCTTCCGAATGTTTATAGAAAAATCACTGCTATCACCATCACTATCACTTTCTGAATAACAACTATAGTCTGAAAAAGTACCTAAGCAATATTCTTCATCTGGACGATCTTTATCGATTGTAAACGGTGAAAAGTAAAAATATTATAATTCGTAAGGATATGAAGAGGACAGCTAACTACTAACAGAACAGTAAATCCCACTGGTCGATCGCTACGCTTTTATACACGTTTGTTTGTCTCAGACATACAGCGTGTCCCGTATCTTCCGCATCAGAGCATTATACGGTTGTAGAATACATTATTCTGAAGCGATCTTTCTAATAAAATTTTTTCGAAATGTTTATAATAACCGCACGGGAACTGTTTAACGGAACTGTTTTTCGTCCAATCAGCAGATCGCAAATCAGACTCAGGTAATCGGTGCCACCCTCGGCCGGTCCGCTACGCCGATGATAACTCGTTTCCCACGTGTACTCACCAATAGATTCGTCATGGAAAGAGAAATAAACTTTTTCGATGAATCAAAGTCGTCCGTTATTGGTCGTCGTTAAACAGTTCCCGTGCGGTTATTATAAACATTTCGAAAAAATTTTATTAGAAAGATCGCTTCAGAATA